CCTGTTGAGAAAATGTTTAATATTACTCGGCAACATGTTGAAAGTCAACAGCCGAGAAAAAAAGAGGAATTGAACTTGGTGATAGAAAGAAAAATAGACTTTTTTAGAGGTGAAAACTTAGTTAAATATTTCGAGAACTCTATTAAAGAGTGTTTAATGAAGAATAGCAAAATTTCTAATGAACCAGTTCCAGAAAGATTTGAAAAATGGAAGAAATGAAGAACTAACGAACTTGTTTATGTAGAATACGAAAAAGTTAAAAATTATAATATAGCCACTAAAATATGTTTATTAGCAGACATTTTTTAGGAATTGTGTAGTAAATTACCAATTATTTGAAGTTTTAGTTAAAATCATGGTAAAAAATGAAAAAAAATGGCGCGCCCGGGAGGATTTGAACCCCCGACCCTTTGATCCGAAGTCAAATATTCTATCCACTGAACTACGGGCGCAAGTTTTATTAAGTAATTTTAAATGATTTTGGTTTCCTTTCCGCCATAAAGTAATAAAAACAAATTAAAATGAAAATTTACATTTACAAACGAAGTGTATGTATAAAAAAAGTGCTAAAAGCTGGGTAATTAACAAAATTAGTCTATTTCTTTTGCTAACGATAAACATTTTTTTATTATCTTCGCTTGTTTTAAATTGATATACTTCTCACGAAATCAAAAATAATTTCAATAATTTTTCTAACTAAGTAAAAGATGAGTTAAAAACGTTTTCCGAGATAGCTAAGCAAGTAGAAACGGAATTGGGAAGTATTCAAAAGGAAATCGGAGGATTAACTAAAACTATAGAAGAATTAAACGCTATTGAAAAAGAATTAAAAAATGTCACCACTAATTTAGCTGGATTGAATAAAGTTGGGGATGAATTGAAAGAAACAGGCGAAAACATCAAAGGTAGTTTAGATGGTTTAGGAGAATTAAAAGAAAAAATAGATGAATTGACAAAATTAGAGATTCCTTTAATAGAATTGGAAAAGAGTCTTGTCAAGGGAGGTGAAGGATTAGAAAAAGAAATAAAAGAAAAAATTGGCGGACTTATTGGCACTATCAATGATTTTAAAAAGATTATTTGTCCCCAATGTTTTGATTGAAATAATTTTCAAATTAATTATTTTGCTTCAATAAGCAATAATAATGTTATCAAAGTAGAAAAATAAAAAACTCTTTTTGAAGAAGGAAAATTAATTATTTTGGGAAAAGTTGAAACAGTTAAATACGCTTGGGGGTGATTGAATAGGTTCCGATTGAATAGAAAAGTGCTAAAAGAACCCGAAGAGGTAGTTATTACTATTGAGAAAAAAAATGAAGTAAAACAATGGAGGGATGAAGCAGAAAACAAAGTAGATGGTGAAGAGAGAAAGGAATTTCTTTTCCGAGAAGCTCACTGCAAGGGTTGTGGGAGAAAACTAAATTTGAAGGATTTTAGCATTAAGAAATTAAAGGAGGAAAACTAAATAAAATATTCTCCCCCACTATGCCAACAGGAGCTTCAATCGTTAGAGTAACAAGGGAAGGGTTGCTACCATTTTTTGTCTTTAAAAGTGGAGAGAACAGATAATAAATAAAATTCAATCTGATGCTACTGCAACGCAGTTTGTTTTTTTGCAGACAGATAATTTATAGATCAACATCTTTTCTCAACCTCTTTCGGATTTTGACTCTGTCATTGTTAGAATTACCTGAAAAAATTGACAGCGAGTATTTTTAATTTTAAGTTCGTTAATCTCTTAATTTGGCTGCAAACATCTTTTCTATCTTGGTCACGATTTCTCTCAACATCCTTTCTATCTCTTTATTTTCGAGTGTTTTGGTGGAACTTTGAAAAAGCAAATGAAAACTCACTGACTTTTTTCCTGATTGTTCTAATTCAGCATTTTGATAAACATCAAAAATACTTATTTCGTGTAAATTATCACCCGCTTCTCTCCTTATTTCTTTAACAATTTCATTATAATTGACATTTTCAGGAAAAATAAATGATAAATCTTTTTCACTGGCTGGGAAGTTGGAAACTGGTCTATAGGGAAATTTAGAAAGAGAACTATCAAGGTAAGCGAAAATTTTAGTGAGAGAGAGTTGAGCGACAAAAACTTGGTCACTGATTTGATATTTTTGGGTTAATGATGTTTGAATGCGACCCAAAAATCCTATTTTTTCTTTTCCGAGAAATATTTCGGCACTATGGGGAGAATATAAGTAATTAAGAGCAGCAGGAACAAAAGAAATTTCAGAATTAATTTGTCATAATTCAAAAATATTTTCTAAGACTCCTTTTAATCAATAAAAGTTCATTTCTTGAACTAATTTGTGAAGAGGCTGATTAATCAGTTTACCTACTCCACTCAAAATAAGCAATTCTTCTTGCTGGGAAGGACTATAAACCGAACTAATTTCAAAAAAAAAACAAGTCTTTATTACCACGTGAAAAATTATATTTTAACGTTTTTAAATGACTAGAAATCAAATTTTGCCGATAGTATTTGTGATACTCATTTTTCGGCATTAACAGTTGATAAAAGAAACTTTCTTTCCCCTCAGCAAACTCTTGCTTCATTTCTTGAGAAATAAGAGAATAAGTAATAATTTCTTGTCAGCCACAATTTGCTAAGTAAGTGCGAAGAATTTTTCTTTTTTCTGTTTTACTTTTGTCATCATTAAAAAAAATTGGCTTGAACTCAGTAGGCAACGAACTATTTACTTTATTGTAATCATAAACTTTTAATATTTCTTCTAATAAGTCTTCAACGCTGGTAATATCTGGTCGATGGGAGGGAATCGTGACATAATAATTATTATCATTTTTTTGGTAAAGAAAACCTAATTGTTGTCAAATCTTATCGATAACTTGCTCAGGAAAGGCTTGACCGACTTTTTTAGTAATAAACTGTTGACTAATAGTGATTAATGGTTGTTTTTCTTTTTTGACCGCCTCTTTATAAGTAAAAATTGTTCCAGAATTTAAATTTCCTCCATAAGATTCAATAATAAGTGAGATGACTCTCGAAAGACTTTTGTCAGGAGGCAAAACTAAATTGATTCCGCGAGAAAAATATTGACTAGCCAAAGTAGAAATATTGAGACGATTAGTAGTTTTTTTAATGCTTGCGGGACTAAAAGAAGCACATTCAATGAGAATATTTTTTGTTTGGGAAGTTATAGCAGTTTCTTGATTGCCAATAATTCCTGCTAAATCGATAAATTTTTCTCTAGAGCTTATTACGATTTCTCCAGGATTAAGTGTTAATTTTTGACCATGGAGTGTAGTCATGATTTCTCCCCCCTGAGCTTCTTGAATAACAATTTTTTT